ACAGCTGAATAAAGTAAAGGGAAGGGGACTCTAGGAGCTGCAGGCGCTGAGTAGTTGTACCTCAAGTCTCCGCAAGCTGTCCAATCCGAGCTTACTAATAATCGCCGCTGGGACTGACTCCAAAATCTTCACAAAAAGTGCAGAGTATAGTATGAGTACAACCAACCTTGTGTGCTCTAAGTGCCGAGCCTAACCTCGACAAAGTAGTGACGAAGCTAAGGCGGGTCACTTACACTACAATCTATACGCAGTATATAATAAGGGCAGAAAAAGGAAATACAGAACATGATAAGAAAGTTAACTGCAAATAATAACCACAGCCTCAAGTTATAAACCAGTGTCGTCCAGAATTACCAATCCTTAACATTTCAAATGATAATACTAAAAACCAACACAGTCAAGGAAATACAAACGCATAGGTTGTTGCGACACACAAACCAGATCCTGTCGTACAACACAGAATCCTCCCCTATTTCATCGTAATAACATCAACAACAACAAATAACATATATGTGTTGTAACGCGCAACCCGATCCCACAATATATCAATATCAATACCATTGTTCGCCCTTATTTCACCATATCAATTCACCCTTATTTCACCTGTTGCGACGTGCAACCCGGTCCCACCGTACAATACAAATTTACCCTTATTCTACCATATCAAACCAGCCTTATTTCACCTGTTGCGGCGTATAATCCAATCCCACCATATCAGTATAAATTACTCAATGTGCGCGATCAATTTTTCAATTCAAATTACGAGAAACTTTACGGTCAATGAATACCCAACTGAACCAAAAAGAAACCTTGTACAATATGAGAATCTACATAAGTAATACTACGCAGTAAGGCCAGTCCAGTAATTGACAATTAGAATGTGCAAATAAGCCAATTTAAGCAAATAGCATGGAATTATGAAATTATATAAAGATCTAACATTATTAACAGGAGAATACATTGATTATCAAGTAACAGTTAAACATGAAAAATATTTAGAGCATATAACAATTAAGACATGGAAAGAGACAATCAAGGAAAAACGGAAAATTAGGAAATCAGATAATTCGTCAGCATATAACCACTTGTCACCTGGCATATACGCCGCTCACATGAAATTCACATAGCACATAGTCTAAGGGTTCCTAATTCCCTTAAGTCAATGTTAACCACGACACTTACCTCGCTTCAAAGATCACTTAAAGCTCAACCACAGTTTTGTCTTTCAAACACGTCTCCAAACCAACAATATCTAGAAAATTACCAATCAAACGATTCAAAATAAGCTTTAGGAATCACCCACGATTACAAAAGATTCAATTTAGGTCACTATTGAAAAAGTCAACAAAAGTCAACTCCCAGGCCGACCTCAATTTGAGGTCTAAATTTTCATTTTATTAAAATTCCTAATTCTACCGAAACCCTCAATTTCCACCATGAAAATACAAGATTTTAGGTTGAAATCTTAGGAAATATAATGGAATACTGAAAGAAAATAGGTTACCAATGAATTTGGGAAGAAAGGGTCTTGGAAAAATCGCCTCTATGGTTCTAGATTTTGAAAATTTGAGGAATGAGAGAAAAATCCCATCTAACTCAAATTTTACACAGTTGTAGATGTCGTAATTGCGACCTGGAGTTCACAATTGCAAACCCCGTAAATGCGAGAAACACTTCGTAATTGGGAAGCCTTAACATTTCTGCTGCCGTCACAAATGCGGACAATCATTCGCAAATGCGAACTTGAGGGGATCACAATTGCGACCCCAGTTTTCGCAAATGTGAAAAGCTCCACCCCGCTTACTGCTCACAAATGCGATGGTTCCTTCGCAAATGCGAGGCTCACCAAATCAAATGAAATTTTCAAGAAAATTTTGAAACTTCTATTTTCATAATAGGACGTCCAAATCACGCCAAATCAAATCTGTTTCTCACCAAATTTGACAGAAAAGTCATAAATATAGTAATGGACATGTACCGGATACCGGAACCAAAACATGGACCCGATATAAACATATTCAAACATCGGTCAATTCTCAAAAATCATTAAACTTTCAAACTTTCAATTTTCGATAAAAATTAATAACTCGAGCTAGGGACCTCAAAATTCGATTCCGGGTAGACGCTCAGGTCAAATTACGATACGGACCCACCGGGACCGTCAAAATACGAATATGGGTGTAGTCAACTCAAATAAATATTTAAGGCAAAATTCTTATTTTTATTAGTTTTTAACATAAAAAGCTTTCCGGAAAACTATTCGGACTAGACACGCAAATTGAGGAGGGCTAAAATGAGATATTTAAGGCTTCAAAGCACATAATTGAGTTCTAAAATATAAGATGATCTATCGGGTCATCACAGCATTGCTCAAACTCTATATTGAATGTTAGTTTCTTCGTACTTGTGGTGAATTTGCATCGAACGAATTATTTTCCTCATTATCAAGCCAAGATTCTACTTTCTACAAATAAAACAAGAATATACAAGTACACATAGAGCTTTCAAGCTTAAAACCAGTGCAACTGTTCGAACTTCAGACTTAGTGGCTACTGAAGTGAAATTAGGCTACAATAATTCGAACTTTATACAATTGGCCTGAAGTTGAGTTGAAGCAAATGGTTTTAAGTTCGAACTATCACAACTCGAATTTCAAGAAAATGGTTTGAAGTAAGTTATAAGGAATGAACTTGCACAACCATGATCAAAGTTGTTACAACATGCGACAAGTTTATACATAGTAAAATTAACCATATCTATAACATGTGAGACTTTAGTTAACAAATTTTACATAACTCTTTATGCACTAACTTTTAGGTCCTTTTGATTACCCCGCCAAAGTTTTTTTTTTTTTTTTATATGGAGATGTTCCATTCGAAATCTTATTGTTTCTCGAGACATCTTTTTTGCTAAGGGATATAATGAGTTAGTTCTTATCAAATAAAAACAAATATTATCAAATATAAATACCACTGACAATAATTTTTTCTCGTTGTGGCATAATTCAGTCGAGCATCGTTCAGTGTCCCATTAGCATAGTAAATAAGACCAAAAAAATTTTCTACAGCCTAAAACAACCCCATCTATTCTAGAATTATATGTAACATCGAGAGGCTACTTCCAATCAGGAAACACAATTAAAGGGAAAGTTTTAAACTTTTTCTTAATAGTACCAAAAGCTTTTATATAATCACCTGATAGTACCAAAAGCTTTTATATAATCACCTGAAAGGTATAGATTTGTTGCTTTCATTTTTTATGACTATTATATATTTTTTCTTTAGTACTACTTCAATATAACTTACCTAAGTGATACGAGAAATGTGGTAAATGATATATGTTGCCAATTGTTTTTAGGCAAAATACATAGTTTACCCATCGATCTTGCAGCAAAATTCCTGTTACACACCTCTCGTTCATGGATAATATTTTACACACTTAACCTTTCAAAAGTGTGTCTAAGACACCTCACTTTTGTGCCTGGCCAATATTTTTAGATAACGTGAAGGGCACGCCCTAATAGGATCGTGACACGTGTCATCGACTTTAAAAGGGAAAGCAAATATTAGAAATTACAATTAAAACCCATCTTATTCATCTTTCCTTTTTATATCTTAAGCACCATTTTTGTTGCCACCATGGTTGTTCGTGGAAAAGTTTCTAATAACACCAAAATTCAACTTTTCTACACTATCTAAACAACTAGCCGAAAACAATCGACCAATAAATTGAGTTCAACAACTCAATAATCAACAAGATCCAATTGAATTTTCAAGTTTTTTTCGATACCCCAATAATGATGGATTCTAGATTTTTTTTACCAAACCTTCAATACTATTGTTAAAGCTTTTAAATCTATCACAAATAAATAGTTTTCATAATATTTGGACAATAAACCAACAAATTTCGCTCAATTTTAGATCTAAAATTTTATGTTCTTTTAAAAAGTCTATATGGGGAAGAAGATGAGGGGGAGGGTGATCTGAGGAAGAAGACCAGAGGGAGG